CAGCTGTCCTGGAGTCCACGCAGTGCCAGCCACAGTGTAAACTGGCTGTGTGTTCAAAGATTGTTGATGGTGCCAGTGACCTGGGATAGGACCTAAGCCCTGTTTCAGAGGAGCAAACAGGAAAGAAGCCGGACAATCCATCAACTGGATCATCAGCTCCAAAATAACACAGGACAGGAGAATGAACCAGATCTGAATCTCTCTTCTGTGCCAGGATCTTATAGGCACTGATCCATGATGCTACAAGCCATGTCTCTGTTTCTCAGTTTACAGATGAGGAAACTAGAGCAAAGATGCTAAGCAACTTCTCTGAAGCATACAGTATGTAAACAGCAGAGCAAAGCTCAAAATGCAGTTCTTCTGATGTGGAAACCCATAGTTTCTCATCCCCATCGCCATCCAGCCTCTGGAGGGCAGACTCTGTGGTCAGCGTCTGCTTTGTTCTTACTGATGTGTGCTCAGTGCCTAGGACTGTGCTGGGCACTTACAAGACACTCTGTGAAACGGGCTCAGTGAAGGAACAAAGGAATGAATGAATGAATGCCAGCAGAGCAGGACAAGGGGTTCTGATGCTATATTTCTGAGCTCTGTTTCCAGGAACTCTGAACAATCATGCATTCCCACGCGAAAAGGGCTTGATCCATGAAGATTCCTCTGCAGACCATGTACAAGATCCAGCACTTGCTGTGCGTGGGACGGGGACAGAGGTGTGGCAGCACACACTGAACACAAACTCTAGGGCCTAACAAGGTGAGAAGCTTTCTCACTGTTGCCCGTGTCACCTGCTGATACTGCAGCCACTTTGTGACCCATCTGGATCTCACCTCTCGCTCCCCAGAGCCTCTTCTGTGTCCCACTGGGCACTGCCTACCCCCTTCTCCCTTGACTGCGCTGTACGGAAATTGGCCACATTCCTACTAAGCAGGGAACTAACAGTTTACACCACCCACTCCGGGCCCCATCCAAGCCCTAAGAGTCTGCCCTGAGCCCCAGGGCCAGCTGCTTTTCTCCACATTCCAGCCAAAAATAATACCAGAACGAAGCTGTTTGGTGGAGACTTAATCTAATCTTCATTGCTTCGGTTTTAAAATATCTTGCCTGCTTTGGGGTTTCTTATTACACACAAGGATGTGTTTTTAGTGAGATAGGTCTTAGCAGAAACGTCCTTCATGTAATCAGAAACCCGGGCAGGCTGGGCCTCCTGTGAGGCTTCCAGGGCAAACAGCAGATCCCCCCAAGATGGAAGACAACAGGCTTGCAGCGGGCTCTTCCCCAGGTCCACTCTTCAGCAGAGCTGAGCCAGCCCAGGCCTTGGCTTTCCCTAACTCTGGGGGATTCTGGAAAAGTTCTCTGACTGAAGGACTCTGCCCCCAACTGTTGCCCCTTGTACCCAACCCCACATCCCTCTCTGCTCCCAGTTAAAATAGAGACAAAAATGTTGCCTGCAACTGGCTGGGAAGGATATGTGAAAGAAAAAATTACCCCTAAAGAATCCACAATGGACTAGGGAGAATTCAAGACAAGCATTCCATGGGAGCCATGTCTCCAAGATTAGGGCTCGTGCTTTTTAAAAATCAGGCATGGAATTGAAGGAATCTATTAGCACACATGCAGGGCATACACTTCTGCAGAAGGGTCGGGTGTAACTTCTTGGGCTTTCTTGCCCAGAATGAGCTTTGATCTGCTAGCATGGAGATTGCTAAGCAAGGTCCAGGCCTCCACAAGTTCCAGACCACCCCCTACCCCGCCCCCAGCACAACCGGATGTCTAACACCAGTTAGGGTGAGGCCTTTATTCCCAAGGGCACAGAGCAGGGGCTGCCTCTCTGTGAGGCTGTGCCAGGTAGCACCATCAGAAGAAGCAGGCTGATTGTCCCAACCCGACAGTAACTGCTCCTCTTAGTAAAGTGCACACAGTTTAGGCAGGCCTCTGTCCAGTTGGCAAAGTTTGAGAACTAGTAAGATTCACAAGGACAGGCAGTGGAGCCGAAGGAAACACATAGCAGAATGCAGGACTTTGCTGCTGAAGTCTCTAACCTCCCATTTTCTTTATTATTTAGTGTGCATCTCATGCTTCACTCCTTGAAGACTAATGAAGACTATGTGTGTCATATTCCACTTCCCAGATAACAAACCAAGGTCTGGCAGCTAGAGGACCTGCTGGGGTCCAGCAGCAGTCAGTAACATGGCACAAAGTTGCCAGTCCCCCAGATTCCAGCCTAACACTCTTCCGGCTCGCTGACCTGCCAGCCTTGATTATCACCCCACCACTCACCTCCCGCCCTCCTCCCTTTCCCACCAGGTATTAGATTTAATTAAATTAGCAGAGCCCCGTTGCAACAATCCTGGCCTTGCTGCCTGGATAGAACCCAGCAAGTGCAGCTCCTCCCTCTAAATTCTGCTTAGATGTAATTCAATCTTCAATAAGTCACAGCTCTCCTAGGAAGTGTCTTCCACAAAGCAATGTGCTTTGGTGGGGCTCTCGGTGCTTTGGTGGGGCTCAGGGCTCTCGATGGCGGCTTGTGATGATTTCATTCTCCATGTAACTTCCTCTGCAGTGTAGCTTCCACCCTCTCCATCCTGGGATCTGCACTTTGTTTGATCCAGAAGCTCTGCTTCACATGCCGTCACCTCCAGCAATTGCATCACACATTTATATATATCTTACAGCGCCGAAGCCCTTGTGCCACACGGCATAGGAAAAAGGAAAACTTATAACAGCATTTCTCACCCTCCTCCAGCTAATTTAGAAAATGTGCTCCAGATTAAATAAATCAGGAACAAAAGTCTAAAACTGGAGGTAGAATTTCTGAAAGGCGGGGTGGGGGGCTAAACAAATAGCAAGGAAATCTTGCAACATGTTGGAAGCCTATAAATTTTATTGGTTGTTGCTTTAATAAAAACAATCTCAATTGCTAACAGCACAGTATTATTAAGCCTCTAACATTTAAAAATCTAATTTGCTCCTATCCTGTGGCTGTTTATGTTGCCTGTTGCTTTCAAGAAAGGTAACAAAGTCAGGTTGGTCACTTTGGTTTGGTTTCTAAATCAGGCTAATAGAGACCCCTTTAAAAGGGAGCCTCTTTGCTTTCTAGGCATGCCTTGGTCTCTAATGAGTCACAGCCGTAGGTTGAAGATGGACATGGCAGAAAGAAATTCAACACACACTCTGGTGCACCTATAAACTTCAAGGCCAGGGGAAAGGAGGTATGTTTCCAGTTAGGCCAGGCTAGAACTCCATGAATTCAGGATTCTCCACTCACAAGACAGTAATTCTCCTTATTTCATCACTAACTTACTTCAAATGTGTTTATACAATTTATTGCTACTGAACTTCCAGGCAACTGGTGTAGAGTTAATGAAACCCAGCTTGGAGAAGCTTTGAGCTTTGAACAACTAACCACAGTTTAAATGGTTATGACATGCGGTCAAAGCCACCGCCCGGCCCCACTGCAGTTTCTGTGTTAAGACCTAGTCAAAAAACTTGTCATCTCACCTTTTGTGCCAAACACATTGCAAAGGGAAAAAAGCACTGAGCAGCAGCCTGCCTTGTTCCTTCTCAAGATTCCCAGCCATTGAAACACATTTGTCTGTGCTGCATGCCATGTAAAGCCCCCCCCCCCCAGAGCCCTACTAAATATTTTAGTGGCAGTTTGAACTGGCAGCAAGGCTGAAACCCTAAAATCCGGTCGGGGTTGAACTGAACGCAGTCAGGCCTACCTAAAGCACCATAAGAGCAGGCTACAGCCAGGAGACACCAAGGAACATTTCAATCCAGGTTCTGCGAAAGCCGGGATGAATTTGGGCTGGGAAAGAAGTAAACTCATCTTTCTGAATTACCTGGAAATTGACTTTTATTAATCCTCATTGTCACGGCGTCCTCCCCCCAGCTCTGTCCCGGTGGGAACTCCAGCAAGCTCCCTTTTGCCCCAACAGGGAAGAGTAAAGGGGAGGTACTGGATTTGTCAGTGCTGCACAATAAAAAGCCTCTTTTGAAAGCAGCACTTTCATTAACTTAAAGCAATCTATAGGCTTAAAAGCACAGAGCAGTAAACTCCCAGAAAGGATCATAAAACAGCCAGTCCGAGTTGGGTAGCCTTTTGCTCAATCTGCACGAGGCATTTTACTGTGAGCGTGGTCGGGCCCATCTCCCTCCGGTAACCCCCTGGCCCTTACTCGGAGGAGCTCCTCTTTCTCTCTGGTTTCATGCCTTTCGTGCTCACAAAGGGGAGGTGGTGACCGGGGAGTCTCCGTGGGGTCACGGCTCCCTCCCTCCCCGCGCTCTCGGCGGGAGAGCGAGCGCATGAATTCCAAGCCTGAAAAACAACAGCCTTGGAGCACCGCCGCGGAGGCGGTCGCCGTGCCCCGGGCCTCCCTGGCCACTCACAGGTCGCGCGGCTCCGGGGTCCCGTCAGGGCTTTTTGGCTCTCCTAGCCAGTAGTGCGCCGCTGGGGGAAGGGAAGGCTTAAAACTGCAAGAAGGAAATCGCAGGCCTTGATCCCCTGCACCGCCCCCTCCAAGTCTTTCGCTAGTTGGCCGGAGGGTAACCTCCCCCCACGGTGGGGACTTCTTCCCCACCCAGCGCCCTGGAGCAAGGCCTGAGCACTCAAGGCTTACAGAATGGGAGATTCTGAGTTCAGAAACATAAGACAGCACACACACAAACACACACTTCCACCACGGTGCTGGCGCTCGGAATGGCAAAGTGAGAGGGCAAGGGGTGAGGGCTTTTGGCTGTTTGAGCACCATTTCCCAGATTGGTGGGGAGGTCGTTTAAATATGCCTAACTCATGAAGCATTTAGCTTCCACCCGTTGGAGAACATTTGAAATCCAAAAAGTCAGTATTCTGAAGTCCTGTGACAAGTAGAATCAAAACAGGGGACCCCGAACTTTCTCCAACGTCTGAGGCAGAATATCGCATTGGTGGTGGGGCTTGTGGGCTTTGCTGCAAGGCCCAGGAAAGCGCAGACAGCACTTGGCGATTCGGAGGGGGCTCCGGGATGGGGCGCCCGCTAGAGTTGGAGCCTTCCAGGCTCTCCAGTGGCGACTTCTCGGGTGCCCGGTGGCACCTCTCGGCCGCGCTCCCCTCCCCCACCACAGGCCGCGGCCCCTGTGCACCGCACCGCGCCCGCAGACCCCAAGTGGACCCTGCTGGACCGCCGGGGTCCACTCCGAGTCCAGCGAGGCTGCCCTGTCCTTTCTTCCAGAATGCCCTTCCCATGTGTCCGCTTCCCAGAATCTCTCCTAGGATCAAGTCCTGTGCGCCCCAAACCTCTTCCTCCAGATAACGCATATGGGGACACGCAGCAGACATTCGGGGCTCGCAGGCCATGGGTTAGCGCAACTACTTTTGTCACATACCTAAACGCTTTTCCAGGACTAGAATCGCAACCTTTCCCAAATCCCAATAGCCTGAACCCCCAAGAAAGGGTGGTGATCCTGTGGCTGCGTCCTAAAATCGCCTGCCATTCCGCCGACCCCAGCCTCAGACCTAAACCCTGGGTCCCCCAGCTCCTACCTCTAGCCCTCGGCTCTCGCCGGCGTGTAAACTACTCAGCGGTCCTTCAGTCCGGATTCTGCAAACAGCCTGGATCCTATAACCCAAACTGTCGCCACCCTGAAGCACAGCCCTATTTCAAGGCTGACCCACAAGCCCTCTCCTCCCCACCGCACGGGAACCCCGGCTCTCCTGCAAGAAGCCCCGCAAAAGGGCGGCCCTCTGCGCCCGTTTCTTCCTTGGTTTTAGGAGCCCGGAGAACCTCTCGCCCAACCCGAAGGAAACACAAACTTTGCGCCGCTGACTAGGGATCCTGCCTCATCCCCACCTCAGCTTTCGCCTCTTTTTGCGCTTTCCGTCCCCCGTTTTACGGATTCATCCCCTATTTCGAGAACCCCGATTCCCAAGCTTCGCCACGGGCCCCAGCTCTTCTCCTCCCCTCACCAAAGGACCCTCCCAGCAACCCACGCAGAGCCGGTGACCCTACGCTTCCTCGCCCCTCCACCGGCTAGAGTCCGGAGCATGGCGCCTCGGGCCCCGTTTCCTGACCCTACTGGTGTCTCCCGGTCCCCGCTGGTCTTCCTGCAAAGCCTCCCCGGGCCCGCAGGACGCGGCCGCAGTTCCTGCACTCAGGCCACCCAGCCCCAGGCTGGAGCTGCTCCGGCTTCCAGGCGCTCGCAGGCAGCGCCGGGTGGTGACGCCGAGTGAGCGCCGGCCCCGGAGCTCCCGAAGCCGGGCGCAGGAGAGCCTGGAGCCGGCCCGCGCTTCCCCTTCTCGCCCGCGGAGCGCGCAGCCCGCAGCCGCCGGCACCGCACTCGGGTCCCCGAGGCTCCCGGCGCGCCGCTCCCCGCCCGCCCGTCCGCCCGCTACAGCATTCGGCCCGCGGCGGCCGGAGTCCACGCCCGGCTCCTCGCCTCTGCGGACAATGCGCGCCCGGCCACGGGCCGAGCCGGGCGAGGCGGAGGCGGAGGCGGCGCCGGCGGCGGGGCTGCGCGCGGAGCGGGCCGGGCCGGGCAGGGCGCGGGGGACTGCGCAGCCCTCGCCGCCCCTCGCCCGGCCTCGCCGCCCCTCGCGCTGCCGCGCTCCGCGCTCCGCGGCGCTTCCCCAGCTTCGCTCTGCACGCTCCCGCCGTCCCTCTCTGCTCCCTGCCTCCCTCCTCCCTGCTGCCTCCCTCTCTCTCCTCCCTGCTGCCTCCCTCTCTCCCTCTCTCCTCCTTGCCCTGTCGCAATGAATAATACTCTGGCTTGGGGACTGGAATAAAACACACGCGCTCTGAGGCAGCCGCCCGCAGCAGCAGCCGCCGCGCCGCCGCCGCCGCCTGCAAAAGCGTCTCTGACATGGAAATGAATGACAGCTTACCTGATGCCAATCTTCATCAGACTGACACCGGCGTGACAACACAGCCTATACTTCCCAGCACTGCTCGGGACGTCAGCGGCACAGGGACCCGCCCCCCGGAGCCCCCCCTCCGCACACCACCCCTCTCCCCACTCCCCCTTTCTCCCCACCCCCCCTCACCCCCACCCACTCCCGGCCCCGGCCGCTTCCCAGTCGCCGAGCCGCTGGAGTGTCTCCCTCTGCTGGAAGCTGCGCTCCGGTGCCGGGCGCGGGCCTCGCTCCTGCTGGCGGGGAGGCCGAACTGCGCTCGTGGAGGAGCCTGGAAACCCGAGGCGGCCGCGGATGCGGAGCGCCGCGGAGACCCGGGAACTCGGGCGCACCCCACCCAGGGCAAGTCCTCTTTGGCGAACACAGCGGCGGAGTTCCAAGCCGTTAGGTGCCGGATGGGGGAACCGAGATGGGGTGAAGTTTTCTGGGAACCTCAAGAGAACTCTCCAGAAAATAGGAAACTTAAAACTAGAAAGAATTCCTTCCCTCCACCCCCACTTCCCACCCTACCCGTCCCCTATTCCTGCCTGGCTGGCCTCATTTTTATGATTGCATTTGAATAATTCTCATTACCCTGGCCCCAGAAAAGGTGCTCAGATGACACTCGGGTTCGTGATTCTTAATCTCAAGAGCTTTTTCTGCTGTGGGCATCCTGGGGCGGCTGGTTCGGGGAGGCGGAGATGTGATAGGTGGGGCAGGAGAGAGACAAAGAGGGCCCACGCTGTGTCCGCCACTCGCCCCTCTTCAAAGGTCAGGCGACCCTGCTGGAAGCCGCTGCTATTTTCATTCTAAAAAGTCTTTAGTAAACTCAGTGAGTTCTGGGAAGGGGCTTCTGTTTCAACCGGGGCTTGCTGGGGTGGCTTCATCCTCTTCCGAGGGGACACTGGCTTCTCATCTAAGTGCCTTGTACCTGGAAGACCAGAACAACCATGTGCAACACCCCCCTCACTTAACAAAGGTGACCGTCCTACTACGTGCACTGTAGACGCCAGATATCTAGGGAAGCCGGGTCCCCTGCTTCCCCAGCTTAGCAATGGCTGTCTGTAATAAAAGCACAGGAGAACCCCTTGGCCCCTGTAGCCAGCCATTTCAGCCACAGGCAGAGAGCGATTGATCCTCTGACCCCAGACCAGGCGGGCGGAGACAAAGACACTGCTGTAAGCAGGGAAAGCAGAAAGGGAAACCCGCCAGGCAGCCGGGTTTTCAGTAAAGGATCGGACCCCAGGCTGGAGGCAGCCTCTTAAGCCATGCCAACCTTCTGGGTCATTCTTCTCCTGCCTCCATCGGGGCAGAAATGAGATCTGTTCAGTTTCGTGTCTCAGAGGAGCAACTGAGACTTTGCCTCACACCCCACATATGCCACTCTTAGGCCAGTTCCTCCAGTACCCCCAAATGCACCCTCCTAGGTCCTGTGGAAGAAACTCCTCACCTTCGAGTAGGTAGTCCCAATACTTGACTGGCGGAATTTATGTAGCCCCAGCCTCTGTCTGTGGTCACAGGCTCCAGCTGCTGACAGGCTAATCACTATTATATATTATACATTGTACAACAATATAATAGTAATGAATGCACTTGACCTTTTGATGTAGTACAGAAGTGGCCAGAGTCACTGGGGGTCATCCTGCCATAAAGTCTGGTAATGAAGTTGGTTTCAAATATGAGAAAGAAGGAAGCCCCATTGGCCCTGCCCAGGCCTCCTGGAGGGAAGGGTTTTACTCTTTCCAGGGCTCCTGGTGATTTGCAGAAGCCTTCAGGGTCAGAGATAGAATGAGGCTGAATGTAAACACTTAGCCCCATCAGGAGCCCTAAACAGGTAAATGGTACCGCAAGCAACACCCAGGAATCACCATGGACTTTCTGAAATCCAGTTCCATGCCCAGCTCCTTGCAATGGCAGATCCATGGCCATGAGCTAGTCATTTGCAGAGTCTTGTCCAACACTAAGATTGCCACCAATACCCTCTCCATGCTTTGAGTGTACATTGTAATTTTAAGTCAGTGTAGCTTGCTATGACTATCTCTGTAATTTGCACAACTTGACAAAATGGTTATCTACCTGTAGCCATCCTTTTTATAATCATTCCCAGTAAACACTAGCCCTGCTCCCCTGGATGCTCAGACATGTGCTGGTGCCAAAGGTAAAGAGCACAGGCAAAAAGGCCCACAGACAGCTGGCTCCTATCCTCAGGCTGCTTTCCTTTAGCGAGGAAGACGGAGCACCATTACAGAAGCATTAAATAACAACACACAAACATCCAACCGAAGACACGGCCGGTAAATAATTAATGAACAAATGGGCCGTCGATATGTCAAATTGCGTTAGGTGTCCGTCTAAATCTGGTTCCGCCAGTAAACGGAGAAGGGGCAGAGTAGAAATTAAATGTGTGGATTGTGCTGCGTGTGCTCTACATTTTCTCTCTCATCCTCTGTCTGAGGATGTGGAGGTAAACACGCATCCCATAACCCATAAACACATGCACGGTCTAACCAAATGCAAAATCCCACACATCCCAGCCATCCTCCTGCGTATCACAGACCCTGAGCCCAGCACCAGGCCACTTCTCACCCCAGCTGCACTTTGTCTTCAGGCTAAACCATCCACACCTGCCAGGTTGCAACCTCTGAGCTCTGGATTACACAATCTATGGCCTCGCTGCATCCTGCCGCTGCATCCTGCCGGTGTCAACTTATGAATAAACTATAAGACCTGGCTGTGTTAGTCTGCTTGGGCTGTGTACCTTAAACAGCAGGCCCTCTTCTCCCACAGTTTTGGACACTGGAAATCCACGTGCAAGGCCCCAGGAGCACTGGTTTCTAGGGAGACCTAGAGGGAGGCCTCTCTTCCCTGTCTTGTGGATGGTATGGTGTCACGGTGTTCTCGCAAGGCCTTTCCTCTATACAGACACAGCAGACAGCTCGAGAGTCTCTTCTTCCTCTTACAAGGACCCCAGGCAGACTGGATCACAGCGCCAGCCCCATGGCTTTATTTAACCTTAATTACCTCCTTTCAGGTGCTATCTCCAGAGTCACCTCAGAGGTTAGGGCTCTGACATAGGAATTTGGGGAAGCACGATTTAGCCCCTGATACTGCCCAATCACCAGTTCCCTTCATGCTCGATTTAATTTCTCTTAATGCTCGATAGGTCGTGAGGTCCTTGAGGATGGGGCCAATATATCATTTGGTCTTAGGATCCCCAAAGCCTGGTACAACGTCCAGTTTAGAAAGCGTGCTCAAGACATGTTTGCTGTATTGAACCAAATGGAATTTCTTTCTCCATCGCTGCCCCTGTCCTAGTTGGGACATTTGTCTCCAGTCACCTATTTGGAATATTTTGATGATTTTTTAACTGTTCTACAAGCCTCCAGTATCTCCATTTTCTCTCTATCACCAGAATGTTCTTCCTAAAACAGAGTTGGATCACACCTTGGCTTCCCCTCAAAATCCTCAGTAGTTTCCATTACCTAGAAAATGTGGGCTAAGATTTAACTGTGCTTCAGCAGGTAATAGCTTTTAGAAACAACCCAAATGCCCATCAATCACTGAGTGGATTAAAAAGATGTGATATTCAGAGTTTTATTGGATCAATGAACAGAACTGTTTGCAGTATCATTGATGGAATGTCCACTTTACAAGCTTTAATTTTGTGACTTGAACAATTATTTCTAAGATGACAATATGTAATCCATTAACTAGTGATTTCCTACTGTTCATTTTTTTTCTGTAAATCTGTATAACTTGTACCCTTTCCCTGCTTTTTTTTTCTTTTCTCCTTAAATAAAATTAAAAAAAAAAAAAAAAAAAAAAAAAAAAAAAAAAAGATGTGATATTTTTACACAGTGGAGTATTGCTCAGCTATGAAGAAGGATAAATTTGAGGCTTTTATAGGTAAATGGATGCAATTTGAGACCATATTCATAAGTGAACTAAACCACACCCACGTGTGTAAATACTGTAAAAAGAAAAATGGAAAGATCCAAAATGTACAATAGATACTGTGAAAATGAAAGGGAAAGAAAGTGCTCAAAAGGAAAGGAGAACTGGGATGGAGGAAAGGAAGAAGGGAAAACATTGTATGTATCTAGGTATGCACATGTATGAGTATATGTATATATATATACAAGTTAAATAACTATACTACTAATCTGTGCGTTCCTGAAGAACAGTTTGTACTCTCTTTGTTCATGTGATCATTTTTATGCCTAGATCTTGTAACCCGAGCATCACTTTTAAAATAACAATGTGCACTATATTAACTAGTGCTAACTTCATATTTTTTGAAATTCTGTATCATTTCTATTTTTTCTTTTGTTTTTTAAAATAAAATTTAAAGAAAGTTAACTGTGCTTATCAACAGATCAATGGATTAAAACAACCATAAAACAATATAATGTGATATTATTCAGCCATAAAAAAGAAGGGAATGTCATTTGCAGCTGCATGGACGGAACTGAAGGACACTAAATAAAGTGACAAAACCCGAACAAAGACAGACAAATATTACACGTTCTCCTTTACATGTAGACGCTAAAAAGTTGATGTCAAAAAAGTACTGAATACTATTGTGCTTGCCAGGGCCTGGGAAAAGTACAGGGCGGGGGGGGAGAAGGGATCCCCAAAGCCTGGTACAACGTCCAGTTCAGAAAGCATGCTATACAGGGGTACAGTTAGGCAGGAATAACTCAAAATGTTCTATGGCACACAGCCGGAAATCATAGCTGACTATGACTAATTGAACATTTCAGAATAGCTCGTGGAGAGCATTTTGAATATTTGCAGCAAGCAGAGGTTGATGTCTGAGGTGACAGATATGCCAGCTGCCCTGATCTGATCATTGTACATCCTACACACATGTTGAAATGTCGTTGTACCCCATGAGTGCATATAATCACTACTTCTCAATTAAAAATAAAAATAAATCTTTAAAAAGTTTTTGGGGCACCATAATAAACAGGGGACCTTGATGCATGTTCCTTAGCCTGACTTTCAAGTTTGTCCTTCTCTTCTGTCCCAGATCCAGGGGTCTACACCTCCCCAGCTCCACCTTCCGGTGGCCCTAAGTGAGTGGCTGTGTCAGAACCTCCTGGGAAGCCTCCCTGTAACTCATGGCTCGGGTTCCAGTCCTAGAAAGCCGTTCTGGAAAACAGCCTGAGAATCTGTGCAGTGGAGGCCACTGCACCCCAGATGTTCCGAGTCGTCCCTTCCAGCCACCGCCTGGTACTCACGCGTCCCAGAACACACCCCGCACTGATACCCCCCTGCACTTGCTCCTGCTGTTCCTCCAACCTGGAGTTTCCAGCCCCCCTCTCCTACCTTCCCAAATCCTACTGGTACCTGCTGGCAGTCTTGGCTGAAAGATCACCTCTTTTGAAAGTGACCTTGGAGTCCCCATCAGCTTCGGAGTCAACCAACCCCGGCTCTGACCTCCATCCAGTATCTTGGAAGCACTGACCCTCTCGCTCACTGTCTCAGTCTTTGCATTTGTGAAATGAAGATGATAACAGAAACCAACTCATGAGACTGTGGGGATCCAATAACATCCTGACTGTAAGAGCTTAGCACGGTCCCGGCACATGGGAGGCTCTTCAATAAGTGACAACCATTAGGGTTAATAGCCTGGTACCCAGGGCCGCTGCAGCACTTTGCCTGAGCCTTTATTATAGTGCTTATTTAATTGGTCCGAGGAAGGCAGATACTGTTTACCCAGAATGCTGTGACAGGCCCTGCGGGCTGTAACACAGATAGCAGATAGCAAGGCAGAGAAAGGAAGGGGACTCTCCTGCTCTACTTCAGGCCTCCTTCCTGACCCTGGACCTGGGCGAGGGGAAACAGCACACAGGGCGCAGCTCCTGGAGAAAGGGAGGAGGAGAAGCAACCTACACCCTGCCAGAACTCAGACACTTTCAATCCTCTGGGCGGTGGGGCTGCAGAATTCTGCTGCACTGGAAGCAGAACCTCTAGGTTCCTCATTCAACTCTGATCTTCCTTTTCCCTCCTTCCTCCATCCGTCCCTCAAGTTCCCTTTCTTTCTTTTTCTTTCTTTCTTTCTTTCTTTCTTTCTTCCTTCCTTCCTTCCTTCCTTCCTTCCTTCCTTCCTTTCTCTCTTCTCTTTTTTCTTTCCTTAACTTTCTTTCCTTGCTTTTTCTTTCCCTTCCTTCTTCCCTCCTCCCCTTCCTCCCTTCCTTTTTCACCCCAGAAAATCCACTCTGCTCTCCCACCCACTCCCACCTCTGCAGCTGGTCCTTTGGGTCTGCAATACGCAACTACTTGGGTCCCAACTTCAACCAGCTTCTCTGGTGTAGAAGCAGTATAATCCCAAAGTCCTTCAGAAAAACCCACTGTCTTACCACGCTAATGTACTCTGGGAAAGTTCCTTCCAGTGCTGCATCTGTCCCATGCTTGACTTCTTCTAGGCACCTCCACATCACACCATGCATACACACAGACACACAAACATAGACACACACACACACTGGGCTCTTCGGTGGAGTTGCACCTACCTCAGTCCCAGATGGGAGGCTTCGTGGCAGGCAGAAGAGGAAAGAGAAGATTTCTGAGAGACCTCCAAGCTCTCTCTTGGTCCTAGTGAGGGGTGGGAAGTGTCACTGCCATCTTAAAAAACTGAGAGGCTGGGAGATAGAATATTTAAACAGTGGTTAGGAAGAGAAGAGAAAATGCCAGGATGATTTCTGAGAAATGATATCCCCAGAGTTTGGCCCCCAAACTTTAAGAAGAGGAGGCAAAGACATGAGCTGCCCAATGAAGAAGCCACACGTGGCATCTGAGCTCTTGAAACGGGACTCATCCAAACTGAGACGGACGGCCAGCATAGCTACAGAATGGATTTGGACGATTCAGTAGACTGAAAAGAATGTAAAATATTCCATCAGCGATTATTTTATACGTATTAGATTTTGAAATGATAACATTTTAGACACATAGAGTCAACTAAGAATAGATTCATTAAATATTTTCAGTCTTCTTTTGACATTTAAATGTGGCCACTAGAAATTTAAAATCGGGGCTGGGGATTTAGCTCAGTGGCATAAGCGCCTGCATTGTAAGCAGGCAGTCGTGAGTTCGATCCCTGGTACCGATAAAAACGAAAAAGACAAAAAAAAAAAAAAAAAAAGAAAAGAAAAAAAAAAAAAGAAATTTAAAATCGTGGTGTGCCTTACATCCTGCCTTTGTTGAAGTCTCCTTGTAGGTTTCACTTCTGGTGTCAGCTATGTTTGCATGTTGAAACTTTCCCTACCTCTTCAATTCCTTCTGCTTCTGCCAGCCTTGTCTTGGGGCAGCAAGCAGCAAGGGGACATCCTTAGGACATTCAGTGCCTCTGACAGACAGAAGAGGTGGGAAGAACCACCTCCCTACCCCAACCAGGGTTCTGTGGAGTTTCAAACCTTTACTCTCTGCAAATCAAAGTTCTCTTCTCCAGACTGACCCAGAGGACCCATCTCTGAATACCTTGTCTCCTGTCACCTTCATCACCATCACTGTACCGTGGTCAGCCCTGATCCCACCGTCGTCACCTCTGTCCTAACCCCAGACTCACCACCCTTGCTGTCTCTGTCTGTCACAGAGCTGCCCCACATCCTTTGGTCACGGCCTTTGAAGCTACAGCCAACCTCTAAGCCCTCCTGAGCTGAGGATTTTGCAGGCTGGCTCCAGAACCCATGCTGGCAGCTGGGGCCCAGAGCAGCCCACGTGCAGGGCAGAGAGAGCCTACCAACCCCCGCCCCCAGGAGGGAGTGAAAGCCACATTCCTCACAGAAATTGGCCCTGCCTTATCATGTTAAGGGAAGGGTGACCAAGAGTGAAAGAGCTCCGTTACCCACAGCTTACCCAGCGTGGGGAGCACAGTTTGCTTTGCAAAGAACAAAACAAAGCAGCCATGGTAACAATAGCTAATTTGTGTTGATTATTGCTCAGTGCAAGACTGTGTGAAAAGCCTCACCCGTGCTGCTCATCACATCTCCAAAGCATCTCTGAGAGGTTCAGGTAAGAGGAGCAACTTGTCAGTAGGTACGAATTCAGGGAGGGGGCCTCCGAGCACTGCTCTGCGCTGCCTCTTTGTCCCCATTCATGCGCTGACACATGCATTCAGCATCCACGATACCTCTAAGAAACTCGCCAGCACATTGGTTCCCATTCTGCCCGGATGGTCAGGCTGCAAAGGCCTGTGTGTCACAACCCTTGAAGTCACAGAAGTCTTCCAGGTTTTCTGGGGCCAAGAGAGGCATGCAAAGACTGACTTCAGATTCCGCTCAGACGTCACAGGCAGAGAAACTGAAGCTCAAGCAGAAGGGCAACAAAGAGGTAGAATTCAAGTCTCTCCTGACTTCACCAACAAGTAAGAGTGGATTTGGCTTCTCAGCCCAATCTAGGGTTTGTCTTCCAACCCCACCCACCCTGGAGATTTTGCAAACATAATGTCCTCTTCACAGCCTCAGAGTATCTTTTGTTTGTTTGTTTGTTTTGTTTTGTTTTGTGGTAGCTGGAATGGAACTCGCAACCTCGAGCTTGCCAGGCAGGCGCTGTGCTGCTGAGCCACATCCCTGGTCCTCAATGTATCTTTTTTAGTTTATCCCCATTAGTCACTGTCACCATGCACAGTACACATCCAAATCAAACTCAGCGGCTCCTGAAACTGCTTAACTCAGGACACTCCTGTCCTGCGACCTTCTCAGCATATGCACTCACGATCGCACTGTGAGATTCATTTGTGTATTGCTCTGTGTGTTCTAAAATTTCAAATATGTGTGTACTAGCTCCCCAAGCAGCTTTTGACTGCATAAAGGCAGGACTAAGCACCTCCTTATATCTTACCTTCTCCTTCCCAGTCTCTCAGCATTTGGCAAGAGTCTGGGCCTATTCCAACTGACTAAGCAATGCATAGTTCGACCTACTCTGCATGTTTGTCTGTCTGTCTACCTGCCTGGGTTTGACAGTATCTGTCTCATATCCAGGACCACTGTTTCCAGCAGGAGGTTAGCGTGTACAACTGCCAGTGCAAGCACGTGTGCACGGGTGTGTGGGTGATTTTTCCAGCTATTACAGTCATGGGAGCTTAGACACACCAGCACAATCCGTCAACCTCAAGCCATTATCTCTCATGATAATTTCCTGCCAAATCTTCGAGTTGCAATTAAGAAAGTAGATAATTTGAAACATTTTCCTCTGCATGTTGAGATGGATTATAATCCTAATTTGATAAAGACTCTTAATGACTCATTAGCCACCCTTGGCTTCTCCTCAGGTCAGCCAACCTCCCGGGCGCTGGAGGCAGCTGGCAGCAGAAAAGGCAGCACCGCTCAGGTCATTACACGTTATTGCTTCGGCAGCGCTGAGACAAAAAGACACAACAAAGCCACAAGCATGCCACGGCCCTGGAAGTCTCTTTCCTTCAGCTCCTAAATTGGAACTTTGGTTTTCTCTTCCTATCTTTGAACAAAGTCTCTAATTTCCTAACAACACAAACGCTCTTCCCCGGGCAGAGACTGTGCTATGTGAGTGGCACACAGTGCCTGGTGGCTATCCCTTGGTCAGGGGGTAGTGCAGAGGCCCATCTCCACCACAGCTTGTTTGCTAGGTCATGCTCCCCAAGTTCAAAGGGTGGAGAGCCCTGGAAAGAAGACCAATCTCAAACTGGCTACAGCCAGGACCACGCAATAGCTCCCTCCCTGCTTTGGATGAGTAGGGTCAGAAAGCATCTAGAGGTTACCCCTGCCCTTCTTCCTGGCAGGGTGGCATCTCCTCAGGCCCCAGAAGCCAAAGTCATGCCTTGGGCTGCCCACTGCAGAATGCAAGAACTCTGCCTCCACGGGGCTCTCACTGATCACATGAATTCCCACGATGCATGTGCAGCTGCAAGATCACATGTGGTGTGTAGTCATTATACATGGGCACAGAACATACAGACACACTGCCACACTGTTCCATTTGAGGGTGACTAGGAGTATGAGGGCTTCTCTGATTGGTCTTGACCCTGAGGCCAAAGGAGGAAGGAAAGAGGCCTAGTCTATGAGCAAACATCGCTCTCTGATGCATCCTAGCTCCTGCTACTGTACTAGCTACCGGGGTGTCCCCATGCCCAGTCAGATGGGGAAGCTGGTGATGGTCAGCATGGTTGGACCGGTGTCACTGCATGCGGAGCTGAAGGGGCTGGGGAGGAGTGACATTTTGCATCAGGATGTTCCTTCCTGCACCAGCCCAAAGTGTGCTCTCAGACCTGTCCCAGCCTTACTCTGTCCCCAGCTCACAGGGCAGGCTAGGGTAAGATAAAAAGCTTCACCTTCCTTCCCATCTGCCCTGGGCCTTCGCCTTCCATCAGTGTGACAGATGCAGGACCCCCGAGGCTATCTTCTCTGCCACCACCCGCCTTTCCTTCCCAATGAGTCCTGGGAGATCCAGTAGAGGGTGATGGATGGCCCTGTCTTATTGTTCCAGACTTGGAATCCAACAGGGGCCTGCGAGAGCTGTATAAATCAGAGCCTGGGCTGGGCTCTCACCCGAGTGACTCAACTAGAGGGATGGAAGGCAGGGGACCATAAAACTGTCCCTGGGCCAAGTTGTTTCATTTCAAGCTGAGGCCAGAGAGAGAAAATGTTTGAGAGACAGACTCATATGGATAGGATGGATAAGTCAGAGGAATCCTGCACGTCTGGGTACTCAGAAAGGGGGAGATGGAGAGAGGCTAGTCTCACAGGACAGGAGTGAGCCCATCGGGGCATCTCTGAGGCCCCACCCCTACATCACAGGAGGGATCGGGGGGATGTTTGGAAACATGAGCTCCAAGTGAGGAGAGGAGATTCTCATCCTACATGGCTGATTAATTGTAATTGTTCCTTCTCTAAGATAGGAATAGCCTGGGGAGGCAAAAATACTGGGAAGAAGCAGGTTCTAATCATCAAGTTGTGATCAGGAAAAGCAAGAGTCCTTCAGAGTCCTTCCTGTATCATTGACGCAGGGATTTATTGAACAGCTACTGTGTGTCAGGCACTGTGTTAGGTGCCAGAGGCACAGAACAGAATCAAGTAGAATCATGTAGCCCCGCTCTGAAGCACTCACGGTCTGGAAGGAGCAGGGAAGTGGACTCAAAAATCAGCAGCAAGTGATTTATTATCTCTTCTCATCTGTTCCAGCATCACCATTAGCAACTGCAACAAAGCCCTGTATTGATTGGTTGCTTGTTTTTCCCCCTTTACTAGAATAAGAGCTCCTTAAAAGGAAAGAGGAAAGGGAGCTGATGTTTGAGTCCCACGCACTGTTCAGGGTCTCGCCTCTATTTGTGTCTTCGACACCTGAAGCATAACTAACTCAGAAGCTGCGGATGATATGAAAGAGGGGGGGAACCATAGGGAATTAGGATTAATACTGCATGGGGAAGACCAGGAAAGACTTCGTGCAAGGAAAAATTAAGGAACAGTTCCAAAGACCAAGTGGAGTTTGCCTAGATGATAAAGTATGGAAAGCATATGTACCAAATGCCACCGCAGCATGGAGCAGCGCCGTGTGCCCTGGCCACCTGCTCAGATGCCCTGTGTCACCCGCGACCTCCCCACTCCACCCGTTCCAGTCCTCCAAGACGGGAACTCAGGAACCGGTTGAGTATCACATGGACGGTAATGGCGCGTGGGCTTCTGCATGGTGATGAACTGCCTCAGTTTTGTTCTGTTGACGTCTTTCCTGGGATGGATGAGAAGATCTGAGAAGGCAGAATCCAATCTGCTTTGCTCTCAGTATAAGTCCAATACCCAGAGCAGAGTCTAATTGTGAAGGGACAGAACTGGATCAGGAAAGGAAAGTATTCTGTGTATCTCTGCCTACCATGGAGGTTGATTACCTGAGCAGAGCCCTTCCTCTTTTAGATCAGGAAAAGAAAGCCTCAATAAGCCCTGAGGAGAGGCTAAGAAGTGGTGGGGCCCAAATCCTTGTGCGGTAGGCATAGGCCAGTTCTTCTGCCCTGACCTTTGTGCTCTCTCCTGTCTAACTCAGTAGCCAAAACCAGGACATGTGCTCAGAAGACAGGCACTGAGCAGCAGACATGGACCTGACCCTAGTTTTCAGTTTATGCTAAAGGAACAAGAGTCCCAGGGGGGCTGGAGCCTGAGGACGCAGCTGGCCAGGGGAGCAAATACCAGTAACTCCAGCACACTGGGAGGCTAAAGAAGAAGGATCAGTCACAAATAAGAGCCCAGGCTGACAACTTAGCAAGAGCCTGTCTCAAAATAAAAACAAAGGGCTGGGGATGTAGCTCACTGTGGAGACCCTGAGTTCACTTCCCAGTACTGAAAACAACAGCATCAACAGGAAATCAGAGTGCCCGAATGCAGTGAGACTCAGGGTGACACCACTCACCTGCTTTCTTCCTGGGCTTCCTGGGAAGCCTGTGAATCTCCAATCCAGGCTTAGAAACTGCAAGAGTATTAATCAAGGACATCAAGAAGAAGAAGTGATAAAATGAAACAAAAACAGTAGACTAGAAGTTCCACAACTCCGAGTGGTAACTGGCTCAGCAGAGAAAGGTCAGAAGCCCAGGGCCTGTGGCAGGTGCCCATCCTTCTGCAAAACCCAAAGGGCTGACCTCTTCAGACACCAAGCAATGTGGCCCTGAGGCCAGGAGACACAGGCGGGAAAGCTTCACAGAAGCAGTCTTCACCTACTTCATTGAGCCAGGCAGCTGGTCCTGGCTGCCCTGGAAAACAGTTTTTCCCTAGCGAAAATTGAAAAGGGCAATATTGTTTCTGGAAACACCAAGCATGGTGGAGATAGAAGAGAATTCAGGAGAGCTTTGCATACTGAAGAGTGGACTTTACGCTTTTCCCTGGCCGTGACAGCAATTCCCCACACCACAAGCTTAGCCAGCAGAATGTACCAACCCAATGGCACACAGACAGCCCAGGGAGAAGGCTGGCCTGCCACCTGCTCACCCTGCATCGAGGCCACCAGTCAGCACACTGCCCAATTCCACATCAAGCATCCAGAAGAGATTGCTAGCACTTCCTTCTTACAAGTGAACAAACAGTCAAGGGTCACCGGGTTTATTTAAAGCTTCAAACATAGAAAAGGGAGATTGGGGGCAATAGAGATTTTGCAAGAGCAAAAGAAAAGCTCAAAATAAAAAAGCAATAGCACTTCAAGAACACTTTTATCAAAAAGATAAGAAGAAAGATTATATTAATAAACAAAAAATTACAATGAACAGGAAAATTTTCAACTTAAAAAACCTCTGGGAGATAAACTCAGTGACAAACACCTGTAATCCTGAATTTGGGAGGCTGAGGGAAGACTACAGGTTCAAGCCAGCCTTAGCAACTTGTTGAGACTTTGTTTCAAAATAAAAAATTAAAAGGGCTGGGGCTGTATGTAGCTCAGTAGTAGAGTACTTGTCTAGCACATGTGAGGTCCTGGCTTTAATCCTCCCCACTGAAATAATAATACTTTTTTTAAATCCTGGGGGATCTGAGGGTGTAGCTCAGTGGGAGAACATGTACCTTTCATGCACAACGTCAAGGTTAAATCTTCAGCACTGAAAACATAAATAAGAGGATCTGAAATTAATGTTTCTTCAAGCAGCAGACAATGGGCCTCAAAGTAAAGTTTAGAAGATAAAATTGGGAACCTCTAAGAGGGAAGAAAGAAGAGAAGAATAAGAGATAAATAGAGGAAATGATCTCCCGACTAACCCAGCACGAGAATTGAGTAAGGTACGCACCAACACCACCACCGTCATTATTAAGACATTTTGGAATGCAGAGGTAATAAAGTTTCTAACACCTTCTAAAGAGAAACAAGAATAAAAGAATATCCCAGATTTTAAAAAGTAATACCAGATGTGAAAAGATAGAAGAGAAATGCCTTTTCCATTCTAAAGGAAAACATTTTTAATCTCATAAATCTAAACCCAAATAAATTAGCAGCCACATTTCAGAGTAGTATAGAGATATTTTTAAAATATACAATAACTCAAGAAAATTACCTTCCAGGCACCTTTTCTTAGGAAGCTATTGGAACATTAGATGATAGTCCAGTATACTTGGAATTCAGAAAATAGGGGTTCCAAGATAGAAAGGCAGTGAAGGGAATGTTCAAAATAAAAAGAAACGGAAGACTCTAAATGACCATTACACAGCATTTCTATAAAGTAAGCAGTCCATGCTGAAGCAGAAAACAGAAGGTATCAGGAGGAGCAGCTGCAGGGGTGGACGTGGAACAGACAAGCCTGAATGTGTGGAAACAACTTATCTCGGCAATGAGAAAAGCAACTAAATGCTGTTGTTTATCTATCTAAATGTCCCCTGAAAGCCTCCGGCACTCATAGATGGGGTTCTGGGGAAGGACTGGTTTA